GATACATCTAATGAGCAATACTGACAGGAAACAAAAGGGGGGATATTTTTGTGTATGGTTCCCTATGCTTTAGATGATTTCACGTATTTTAGATCATTAAAATAGAGATAGTTGTTTTTTTTTTTTCAACATTTAAGCCTCCCCACCCCCTTTAATATCACTGAATGACATTCTCCATTCCTTATTAGGTGAAACGCAGGGACTTATTTTGCAAACATAAGCATTTTTTGCTTTAAGAAAACTCCAACTTAAAAAAAAAGAACAGAGAGAGAATTTTTACTTTATAAAGGTTGGTTGCAATCCAAAAGAATTTGCCAAAGGATCACCCTAATGTAATGAGTCCTTCAAGTAAATTAAGGTTTCATTTTACAAAATTTGGTAAGATATTGAGGCTTTAGAAACTCAATTACCACAGAAAGCAAAAAATACCAGTATAATTATACTTGCTCTTCATTACTTATACTAAAATTAAGAAAAATATTTGCAATCACATTGTTTTTGGTAACATGATTTTAGTTATAATTTTTCATTTTTATGTGATTATGAGCTAAAACCAAAAAGTATAAGATATGATTAATCATGTTTTCTTTTTTACCATCTCTGGAATCTTTTGCCTCATTATCAATTCTGAGAAAGCTTAAAAAAATAGATATTTTGTAAGTAATAGCCCACACTAAAATGTGTAAGAAATGTAAATATCTTTTAAATAATTCTGATATTTTAAAATGAGTGTAAGCCATATAGAAAATAACTGAACATATCATTGTAATTAGCATTTCATCAAGAATAACAGTGCATGTAATATAATAAAAATGTGTTCACACTTACAAGCTGAAGAAGCTATTAAACTAATTGTTTCTCAATTCGCCTGTGAAAACTAATGGAGTAAAATATATAGGGACTTGTATAAATCTCTTGTTCTATCATTGTAACTTGTCTTCAATTTTTGAAAAATTATTGATTTAAGTAACTTTTTAAAAATATGTGCAGAATCTCTATAATGCTTGATTCACTGTGGTTATTAATTTCCGGTATAATTACTAGAATATTCAAGAATATCTTATATTTGAAGCTGAGAGCTACTTAGCTTGATGTAATTTGGCAAATATTTTATCCAATCTCTTCTGTAATTAGAGCATCAACTTCAGAGGTTTTTAAAATCGTTAGATCTTAAAATCTCACAAATT